GTTTGTGGCGGCGGGGCGGGCGGCCGCAGCCGCTGGAGCAGCAGCGCCTCTCTCCCCCAGGACTTGCTTCTACCTTGGCCGTGGTCCCTCTGCTTGCTCCGCACCTGCCCGCCTGGAGTCCTGGCTCAGCCCTCCCTCCCGCAGGGCACTGGGCTCAGGCGCAGCGTGCAGGGCGCAAGGCGCGGGGCGCGGGGACTCGGGAGGGGCTCCCGGAGCCCGTTTGTGCGCCTCCCACCTCGGACCAGCTCGGCTCCCGCCTCAGAGCCCGGGGGCTGGGGCACACTCCCCGCAAAAAGGGGTTGTGGGCCCCCCCCCCCGCAGCCAATCAGAATCGGCCTGGACAAGGTGGCGGATTGGGGGGCGGGGGAGGCGGTGATGCACAAGAGGAGGGGTCCCAGCCGCCTCTCCTGGCCCCAGTTACAAGCAAGAAGATGGATTTAGAGCTGGGAACCCCGGCGGAAGATTGGGCTGGAGAACAGGCTACCCCATCTGCAACCCCCGCGGGAGGGGCGTGGTGTGGGTGGGACCTGCTTCTTCCGCAGCAGCTCCTTACTCCTCTAGCGTGTCCTCAGTTTGCCTTTCTCGCCTCTCCTCCCAGCCACCTCTCCTCCCCCTCGCCAGTGCTTCGAGGCCAGCCTCATACAGAGGATTCTACATCCAGAGCATGAGGAAGGGGCGGCGGTCGGAGCGAAAGGGCTGTGGGTTCTCCTGGACCCGGGTCGCTGAGCTTGCTGGCTGCAAAAGGAGGGTGTGTGCGTCTCTGTGCGTGTGTGCTGACTCCTCCGGCGGCTGGCAGTGCAAGGTCCCTGAGCTGGAGTGCGCTTGAAGAGGATGCAGGCTGCCTAAGAGAAGCCCGCCACGCGCAACCCTTCAGTCGGGCGTAAGGATGTGCAGCCACTCCGACGCTCGCTCACCCGCGCTCACACAAAGACATACAATACCCAGTCATGCCGGTGCACTCACGCCCTGGGGCACGCAGATGCCCTCTCATCCCACATCCAGACACGTGAAAACCCGCAGGCATCCTCATCAACATGCACGACGCAAGGTACACACTAGCAGTCCACGTGGGAGGCGTGGGGGTGCCTAGAGTGTGAAGGTTGTGCGAAGGGTAGGGTTGATAACGCTCGCTGGGAGTCTTGCGTTGCAGTGACCGGGCACCCACTTTTCTCCAGGGTAGGTGATGGAGAGGTCCCAGTGCAGGTCTTCTTAGGACACAGAACTGGGAAGGGAGAGGCGTCCTCCCCTGGGGCTGGACAGTGTGCAAGAGCCTTAGATTCTGCAGAAACATGGAGGCAGAGCCCCTGCAGAGCAGGCTAGGCTGTAGCAGCTGTCAGCGCCGGAGCAAGAACTGGGTCTCAGAAGGCCAGGACCCCTGTCCACCAGCAGTTCCCACCCCTATAGCATTCATCCCTGGAGAGAAGCATCCTTTTTCCCAGTGTCTTCCAGGTTTTCCAAGGTAGAGCAAAGGACCTGTGTCCAGTCCCCATCTTTGTTAGGGGACCCCCTAAGCGAGGATGGAGGGATGGGAGGGACATACCAAAGCTTGCAGAGCTGGGCAATCTGCACACGGAGGGTGCTGCAGACCTGGGCGCCTCTGTGATGAATTTGGAGATGTGTGGCTCCCGAAAGGGGCAGATTACCTCAGAGTCACTGGGCTCCCTCAGATATTAAAATCTCACTGTGACTGCTCATGCTGTTTAAATGTGACTATTCTAAATGCAAACGAAACAAAAAATCCACTTTGGTCTACAATAAATCAGCGCTTAGCTGTTGTGCAGGCTCAATAAATAATCAGTCAAAACCTATAGACTGGTTTTATCTTCAGGCAGCTAGACTGAGATGAGAAACTGTGTGATTTGATGAAGGCCCCCCACCCCATCTTTTTAGCCATCTCCCCAGATTGTGAGTCTTGCGTAAGGCCTTGGGGCCTTTGCACTAGCCAATCCCTTTGCCTAGAATACTTCTCTCTAGCTGCATGGCCTGCTTCCTCTCCTTCTGCAGGTCTTTGCTCATTTGAGGAGATATCAAAAAGTTTATGGAAAAATGGAATTGAAATACTAGTTTATTTTGTGCAAAATTTTTTGGACCGCTGCGTAGCTTTTTCATAGTACACATTTTCCATTAAGTTTTTGAACACTTCAAAAGTATGTGCTTTTCTCACCGAGGCTTTCCCTGATGATGCTATTTAAAATGGAAATCTTTGCATAAGCCCATAGCACGTGATTTCGAGCATAGACCCCCTCCACTTACCTGGGAGGGAGGCCCACCAGGGCTGGACCAGCAGGTCATAAGGCTGACACTATGGCCCCTCCCACTGGGCCCTGCTCGAGTGTGAGCTTATGGGGCACCGTAGACAGCAGCAGCTCCATTCATATGGCAACTCCAAGTCGAGACATTCCTTGCTGTCACTGCCACTCATGTCTGTTAAGTCCGGGACCTAGAGGACCGGGCAGCCTGACTCTAAGGCAAACCAGCCAGGCTATCTGCACAAATTTGGAGGTTTTGGAGTTTCAAGGCGTTGCATGCCAAATGTGTGATCTTTCCCAATCATTTGTAATACACACTTCATGACTGGAAACTTGTCTTTACATGCTAATAAACGTTTTGATTCTAAAAAAATAATAATAAAATTTTAAAAACTAAAATGGAAACCTCTATTTCTCTGCATCCTGAAATACCCACACCTTTTGATCCTTCCCTGCTTACTTTTTCTTCTTAATGCTCAGCATCATCAGCATCCCATTTCCCTTTTATGAAATGTATTGTGCTTGTCCGTCTCCCCTCACAGAAGGGCAGGATGTTTGCTGTTTTGCTCATGGGTGCACCCCCAGCTTTGCACTGGGCTTGCGTGTTGCAGACTCTCAATAAACACGGCAAGGACGAAACGCCTCAGCACCCACTAACCTTGGGCTTGCAGGGCACAGGGAGATAAGTTTATCTCTGCATGTCTTTGCAGGTCAGAGCATCAGACTGTGGCATACTGCTGAGGATTGGGGGTACAGTTTCAGATTTTGTATGTAATTATTATGTATGACCAGCTATTCCAAACATGATTTGAGTGGTTTGAATTCTGGGGCTTTAGTTAAAAGACTAAAAACTTGACTGAGCAGAGAAACTGGGCTGCTTGAGAAATCTGTTTTTTGTTTTATTTATTCCTTATTTCTTCCATGAACAAGTCAGAGAAACAGAGAGTGGGAGGGAGAGAGTGTGCACACCCAGCAGGCTCTTGATACACTCCCAGACTCACCCAACCCAAGATCTCAGTTATGTATATTCCCAGTGTACTCAGGGAGTTCTGTGGACATAAACCTGGAACTTTCACATGTAGGTCAGGCTTGCAGAGCATCACTTCACCTCTAAGCCACTGTCTAGCTCTTGCATGGGAAATCTTGAAGGACCTTATTGTGACTGAGTCTATTTCCTTAACTGTAAAATGGGGATGGAAGAAACACCTTTGTCCCAGTGATGTTGAGTGGGAAGAGTGTGAGTGGAGGGGTGGAAATTATTCAAGCTGGAATTCTGGGGAATGGGGAATTGAACTAGGTTGTCTACTGTCTCCATCAGGAAACTTGGTGGTTTCTCAAGGGTTAGGGTCCAAGTCTCCTGGGAAATAGATAGTTGGATGAGAAGATCTTGAAGTCTTTGGTCAGCATTGGGTATTCTTGGCCCTGGGGAAGGAGCAGGAAGAGTTAACAATAAAGTCCATTTAATTTTGCTGGAAATGCTGACCACTTGACTAGACCCATCTGACCAGGCATACTCAAGCTGGCCGCTGCCTGGATAAATGCATTTATGTATTCATCCTCTCAGCAGACTTTTACTGGGCACTTAACATGTGCTAGTAAGGATGGGCCACAGAATTTACAGGGCCTAATTCAAAATGAAAATACAGGGCCCTTTGTTCAGAAATGATTAAGAGTTTCTATATAGCAACAGCAGGGCATTAAACCAAACAAATTTCTTCTTCTATTTGTTTTTTAGAGAGATTTTTCCTATAGGGTGTGTGTGCTTGCCAG